TTAAATTCCCATTATTAGTGATATTAAATAAACATAACCTTAAAAATTTTATGAATTTTTTTTCTACCTCCTAAATCAGTTGAATTTCATGAAATTATACTCTTGGCACACTTTCTAAACTTTAAACAAGCCTTTTTGACCGCTTGAAGTGCCGGGAGTATGAGCATTGCATGTCATTACTGATATTAATATTCATAACCTAAAAATTCAAAATTGAAAGCATCTCCTAAATCTCTTGAATGCCATGAAATTATGTCTTCAGCACACTTCTAGAATATTAAAAAACAAACTTCTTGCCCCCTTAAAGTGCTTAAACTCCCGACAATGTTGTCATCAGAGCTTTATAGCCTAAAAATTTCTTTATAACCTGAAAATTCGTCTTTTAAACTCCAAAATCACTTGAATTCCATTAAATTTTGTTTTTAGCACACTTCCTAACCTTTAAGCAAAGCTTTTTTATACTTGAATTGCTAAAACTCTCGTCAATACTGCTATAAAAATTTTATAACCTCACATTTTTGTATGATAACTTTTATATAACGCTCCCAACGGACTTCAAACTCAACACAGCCGAAAATTAAACTTTCTTCAAGTATTGCCATACTCATGAACGCCAGTGTATGCATACTCCACGTCTGCGCCTACTATCGACAAGCTTTATAAGTGGCAGCGGCAACAGCAGCCACAAGCATGCTTTGCCGATTGTGTTTGTGTTTTGATGCCGCTTCACGTTGCCGCTAATATTTTTATTTTTCTTTTTATTTCTTGTATTTTGTTTATTTTTGCTCGTGTTTAGTGCTGCACTTATATACATATGTATATGTACTTTTGTATTTGTTGCTCTTCTTTCCTCTACTTTATTTGCCAACGCTGACTTTGTTGCCGGCGCCTTGTTTCAAATGCATCAGCTGTGCGTGCAACGTTAAGCGAAGTGCTGCCAGCTCATTGCAACTTGAAATTTACAAAACTTAAGAAATATATTATATATATATATACTGGTATACATATATTCTATATGGTCATGTGTTTTTGTTTAGTTTCTGCCGTCGCTTGTCGAGTTTACCTGCTTCATTGTTTGCTTAGCTGGAAAGTGCCATTTGCCACAAATAGCGTGTACGTCAAGCTCAAGTACAAGTATTTATTTTACAAGTACCCGCTTGCTACTGTTACCGTTAGCGTTGTACAAATTGTACGCTCCGCAGATGTGCAGCACTTGTACGCAATGCCGCTGCACTACCACTTGCTGTGACATCCACTGACGCTTGCTCTGCAGCATGTAAATGGGCTTGCTAATTGTCTGCTGTCGTCTTGTTTACTCTTATTATTATTATTTTATTCTTGTTTAAATATAACGGTTTCGTAATGTTGAGCAAGGTCGAGGACCACAGCATTTTCTAGATGCGAACAAAATTTTTGTTATTGTTGTTGGATTATGATGTCAAGTGTTTGCTAGTGATTCCTACTGGGTCTAATCGTATGAGATCAGTTAATGAGTTAATTACGTCGAGTCGTAATTTTGAACTAATATTTGTTTTGTGAATATTTAGCATTAAGAGTTGGGGTCAATATGGGAACTGGTTTTCGCTGGTATGATGTCATTTAAATATTTTGTTTTGACCCAAAATTTGATTTGTATAAAGATTTGGGGTTAATTTTGAAACCGAGAATACCGACTTTATCTCCACTATCCCTGATAATACACTATTAGGTGGTTAGCGTCTCGTCAGTATTCCAGCTTAAAAATCCGGCTGTTTTTTTGTCGAGAAAAGTACTTTAGGTTCAAAGTCCTCCGGAGTTGGTTTAAGTTTTTCACGGTCCCCGAACTGCTGTATAATTTGAAAACTCGGTATTTCATATGCCCTGTATGTTTGTTCCCAGACCTTTCAAAATTTATACATGGTTAGCTGAGTCGATTTAGCCCTTTTCCGGTTGTCTGTCTGTATATACGCATATTAGTCCCTTAATTTTTGACATATCGATCTGAAATTTTGCAAATTTCCTTCTCTTCCCAAGAAGCTGCTTTTTTCTTGGAACAACCGATATCGGCTTACTAAAACATATAGCTGCCATAAAAATTGGCGAAACAAACTGAATTTTTTTTTTTTATTTGTAAAAGAATGCTTCGGTGCATTCGAATTTAACGTTTTCTCTTGTTTTCTCATGATCTTGCCTTATAAAGAACACACCAAAAATATTTCTCCAAAAAGTAAGTTGTTTTAACTCTTAGTTTTTGCAATATGGTAGTCTATTTATTCTAGTAATAAAGTTCATACTGCGACAAGAGCTACACTTCCTGCTTAACTCTTTTAAGAAGTTTTAGGACGCCACTTAAAGATTTATGGCTATTATGAGAAATTGTCTTAATAGAAATAAAACACTCAGAGGCTTGGCATTGTAACTCGAAAGGCGACCGCTATTAGAAAAGCTTCATTTAAAAGTGATCGAAATCTGAGATCGGAACTAAGTTCTGTGGAGTGGGTTACCATAGCCTAGTCAGCATTTTTATAAATATATATACCATATTTAGCGTAAATTATCTGATGAGTTGAGAGAAAAAGTATATATATAATAGATCGCAACGTTTTAAAATAAATTATTTCTAAAAATACAATATATAAATAATTATATTTTCTTAAACATATTGATAGCTTTCTAGAAAATGTACAGCTTTTCCACTACGACCTAGATAATTGCATACAAACATGCTACTACTACTAAATAGTTTGCTTCCTTGTAGTTTTTCTATAGGTTACGCCTCTCCCTCCGGTACTAAGCAAATCATTTCAGCAGGTCGTAATGTTTATTCGCCTCAATCGTATATATACATATATCTTCAATTTCCCAATAAAAACGATCGTAAAATGCGTGAATCACCGCAAACGCAACCGGCGGCTAGTTGGCTGCACCAGAACGCGTAATTTGTACAAAAACAATTGCTCATGCTATGGATAAACAACATATATACATATAAGTGCATGTGTACTTTTTATAGAGGAATAGTTTTGCGACGCCAGGAACTTGACCAGCTGTTTTTCGATCGATATTTATAAATGGGGTGCGCTCATTGCAAATGTGCGAAAGGATTATTTATTAATGATGACCTTATTGTTGTTGGTAGCATACTATTTACTAAAAATATTTGTAAGTTGAACCAAACAAGAAAAACCATTAACTTTGGTGGCACCGAAGCTATAATATCCTTCACAAATACAAATGTTCCTTACAAAAACTTGATACCGATCGTTCAGTTTGCATGGCAGCTATATGTTATGGTAATCCGATCTGAATTATTTCTTCGGAGAATGCAACACTGTCTTAGATAATAACTTGTACAAAATTTCGTGCAGATATCTCGTCAAATGGAAAAGCTATCCGTACAAGCACTTGATTCCAATCGTTCAGTTTGTATGGCAGCTACGTGCTATAGTGTTCCAATATAGACGGTTCCAACAAATAATTATCTTTTTGGATAGAAATGGACGTGTGCAAAATTTCCGATGGATATTTCAAAAACTGAGGGACTAGCTCGCGTATATACAAACGGCGGGACGGACATGCCGAATTCGATTCGGTTCGACCATTAATATATATGTACATATTTCGATGCGAATTTATTAAAAATTAAACAGTCATTACCAAACAAATTTTAAAAAAAATTTCCTGCGGCTATTTATGCTTAAAATGTGAGATGATGATGTCAAGGTAATACCAGGTATTTTTACAAAAAAAAATTCCTATTAAAAGAAGTGCTGATTGTTTCTGTCTGAGAGTTCGTTAATTTACAATCTACTTCTAAAGAAATGCCGGCTGTTGTCGATTGACAGTAATGTTTATAAGTCAGCTGATTAATGCCTTCATTTACGAGTATATATATATTTACAAGCATTACATATGTAAATATTTATATTTTGATTACGATTTCATATATGTTTGTATATATATTTACGATACTATATACATATATATGTATAAAGAAACAAATAAGTATATCTGTATAAATGCGTAACGCAATATCTTTTAATTGTGTTGTTGTAATCATTCAACAGCTTATGTGCTATATTGTAAACTTTAACAAGGCTTCAGTCTCTCACCCATATCGTGGATGGATGCGATCAATCGAAGGCTAAATAAATACGTTGCTTTTGATTTAAACACTTGCGTTTAAATTTGTTTATTTATACATTAATAACCTCCAATAAACTCTTAGGCGGCTGCCGCTGGTGGTCAATAAAGTTCTGTGTATCGTATATTGGAAATAATGACTTTAATTGGATTTAATACTTCATTACGCGATAAATATGTGATTTTTGTTTGCGATAGTCAAAACGGACAACTATTGGATATGTCTGCCATTCAAACTGATCGTTCAAAATCCAGCTCCTTTAGAGAAAACTATTTCATTTGAGAAGATATCTTCACAATATTTTATATGGATTATTTTCCAAGGTAACACTACAATTTCTGAACCAACTGTTCAGAGAGGACCACTATAGGCTATACCTGCCATATAAGCTGACCGATCGCAAGCAAGATAAAGACATTTTTTACCCTCTTATTTATGCTATAAACTGTGAAGTGCTACTTTGTTAGACAATCAATACAAATTTAGTTTGGTGCAATTAATTTTCACGAATTAACAACTAAAATCAAATTTTATTGACACTTGCTTCCGGCGTTACTGAATTTTAAATGACAAAAAGTTTTGAGGCCAATGAGAAAACTAACAAGAAGCATACCAAACTGTTAGAATCATGAACAGCTGTGCGGAAAGCGATGCCACCTAGCGTGTATAAAATGCAGGCGGTGTACAATAGACAGAGAACGTAATTATAATATACGTTCTCTGTTATAGATCAACACAGAATATCGTAATAGAAATAGAAGCAGCGGTTTTATTAGAATTGTGTAGAATTAATTACGATAGTTAATTATTATTATATATATAAATAATTATTATTGTAGTTATATGCAAAATGTATGCAAATATATATTAAATATGCTGGTAGCATCACGAACAAGAATTGTACAATTATTTTATATATATACGTAGTATGGCAACATTATAGTTAGCTTTCATCAGTATTTTGGCCGCATTTGAAGAATTTTGTGCTACAAATTGTAACAAAAAAAATTTCAAGTTTGACAACAAATTCGAGAAGTTTTCCAGCCCTCAAGATGCATTTTCCATACATGAAAATAGCCATTTACGTGCTGACGTTTCTCACATATGCCTATTCTGGCTATGGCTCCAGCACTTTAGTGCATCTGCGAGACGCCATCATCGCGGCGGAGGCAATATTCGGTGATGTATTTAAGAATTTAGTGACGGTTGTTAAAAAATTTCGTACTGTGCATGAGGTATTCGATGCAGCAGTGGATGAGAATTGCATATACAAATGTCTGGGAGCAGACGGCACACCAACAGGTTAGTGGCGCATTGGTTCATATAAAACTGTATGGAATGCCGGCTAGCTAGATGGTCAAAGCAGGAAATTACGTAAAAATATTGTGTTTTTGCAATATGAAAATGGATAAAGAAAAAGTAGTGAGAAAAGCATAATGCATACATTTAAGTGCTTTGTTCTTAATAATTGGTGGAGTCAGTTATGCTTATAAAACAGTATATGCGAAATATTTTTGCTTTGTTTTGATTATAACTTTTATGCATGCAAACAGCTGTTAAGAAAAGCTGAGGACTGGAGATTTCCAGTTGATGGAAAGTTAGTGTGTGCAATTGTTCTGGTAAAACGTAAGTTTTTTGCAATAGTGTGTCTTCTCGTTCTGCTGATAACTTGCCGGTACACGTGTACCAATCCTATCGTAGACATTCATATTTTCTATTAGCCAGCTCGTGTAGCATTTGTAGCTTAATGTGTTTGTAAAATCATTCTTGCTTCTAATACACAAAGAATAATGAGCTTTTTGGATACTATTCCAACCACTCACCAACAGATGGCGCTGCGAAACGATGTAAATTTTCAGCTAGCTTTTGATTTACTTTTTAAATGCACTTCCTTGAAACATATTTTTTCCCACAATCTACTTTCAGACGTGCGTCCGGTACAGAACAAACTCTATACACCCACCGCCAATGGCTGTGGCTCACTTGGTCTGCACATCAACACCGAATACTTGCCTGCGGTCGAAATGGAGAACTGCTGTAATGAGCATGATATATGCTATGATACTTGCAACAGCAACAAAGATCTTTGCGATTTGGATTTCAAGCGCTGCCTTTACAAATACTGCGAAACCATTGAGAAATCTATTGGCAGTGAATATCTCATAACCGGCTGTAAAGCAGCAGCTAAAGTGCTATTCACGGGCACTTTAACGCTGGGTTGCAAGTCGTACTTGGACTCACAGAAACGCTCGTGCTACTGTGCGCCACCGAAGCAATCTAAGGAGGAAGAGCGACGTAGTCATAATGGTTATAAAAATGGCAACGGCGATAAATATTACAAGCAGGGCAAAAAGCAGAAATATGGTTGGAAGGAGACGGGCGATATGTAGTGTGAATTTTATTATTAATTATCGGCTTAAGTTATTTGTTTTCGTGTTAATTATCGAACGCACAGTTTGAAAAATATTCATGTATATATTTATCAGCAATATTATTTAATAGTATTTTGAATGTAGAGCTTTAAAAGGTAGATGATGAGAGAGAGACATCCCTGGCCAAATGCAGTTTTTAGATTTATAAGATTTCGAAGAATTTATTTTTGATCAGTATAAAGTTGCTTGTGCATACACACATACATACATATATATGTTAACTGTTTTAACCAACGAACTTGTCCAAAGCGAAGATTTTGTAGATTTTATTACAAAATAAATGTAAAATGAAATAAAATGGAAATTTTACTTTTTTTCTTATTTCTTTATTTGAATAGGTACTAGCAGTGATTTTCAAATATGCGGCAATTTGAATCACAATTTTTGCACAATACATCCGTCCATTATCTGCTTATACAGCTGTGTGTGTGCTCACTTCCTACTTATTATCATCTTATCATCCGCAAAATAGCCGCTTAGTCTGAGCATTGTACATTATTTTTTCAACTTTATCTAAATAACTTAGATTAGTGCTATTTTGTTATTATATTATTTGTATAGTGTGAGTGTCAAACAATTAGCCCTGAAAAATCCCGGGAATAATAACAGTAGTTGTTTATGGAGAACAATTTTAGTATTTCTTTTCAAATACAGTCATTGCTACGTTAATATGAAGGGTCAAGTATTTATATCCGGCCAAAAATTTATATCCGGTCAAGAACTTACAACACGTCAGCATATTTTAAATCCTTAAATTCTGCCGCGACAACAACAAAAACAACAGCACAGAACACTTAATGTAAACAATCTACCAGTAAAGATTGTTTGTATTTTCTTTTTACGCCCACTGTGTCATTGCTGCCATAGCTTTTGTTTTTATTTACTGAGAAGTTTGACAATTGGAGGGCGGAATTGAAATTTACAGTTTGAGATCGCATTTGTTGCAATTTATAGTAAATAATATTTAAATGATTAAGATTAAAATATATAATTCACTTTAAATTCGCCATGAGAATACGAAAACAACATAGTTTAATACACAATAACCACAACAGCAACAATATTTACAAACTAATTAAACTTCACTTATACTAAATTATTACACAAATTATTAAACAATTTTAAGTGTGTATTTTGTACTTCTGCAACGCAGCTAGAGTCTCTGCTGCCACTCCGCACATTAGCCAAAGAAGCCGCCACCACTGCTAGCCGATGCGCTGGCCATGCCACCACCGCTACTACTGGCGAATGCAGTATCTGTAAGAAATCAAATAAAGAGACACGTCCAAAACACTATATAATTTTGTTTTTTGTGGTAGAATTATGCTATGACTGAAAATTTGCTAAATTTGCCAACCACTGCGTATAGACTCACTCATGCCATTGCCGTAAGATGGATAACCTCCAAAACTAGGATAGCCACCGAGACAATAGTAGCTACCATAACACGGATACGTTTTGCCATAACCGCCACCATAGTAGGCGGGATATTGCTGATAGCCGCCATAGCCGGGGTAGCCACCATAACTGTTACCGCCACCAAAGCCATAGCCACTTCCAAAGCCAAGACCACCGTAACCACCGCCAAAACCACCCGGATAGAAACCGTATTGTGCGTTTGTACAACCAGTGTACGTTAAAGCGAGGATGAGCAGCAATAGGATGCGCGAGTTGTTGTAACGGTGAGCGACGCGTGCGTTGTGCATAATTCAAACTTAAAATCGATTTTTTTTATTATAAAATAATTTAATTTTCAATTCTTTTATAAATATTTTGTATAAAATAATTTTTTTTATTTTTCCTGACAACTTTTTCACAACCGTCAAAATTTGCAACTGAATTTATAATTGCCATGCTTTTAACTTTTATACAAATTTCGTTGAGTGCCCAAATGTGAACAAAATTATTTCGTTTAGTTCCAAAAATCCCACTACATTAAATATCAATTAAAACATTGATGATATTTTGGTAGCATTGAGTAGTTTATTTACCTTTTTTGTGTGGCCACCAAAATCTCTACTAGTAAATGGGTTATCATTTTTATTGTTATTTTAAATTCTTTTTTTTTTGTGATTATTATAATTTTTTGTAAATTAAAAATTTTGTTAATACAAAAGCTTTACCAAAAATGTTAACTAATTACTGGCAAATGGTCTTGTTAGTGCGGCAGCGTCAATGATATTTGAAATTAATTGAAAGTTCTGCATTTATTCAACTATAAATTAGATAATGGTTAGCAGTGTGGGTGTAAAAAAAAGCCACCAAATCTTATGGTAATATAAGGTAGTGTTTAAGAATTTAAGAATGCTTAATTATTCATGCAGGCTTCAGACAAAAATAATAAGTTATGTTGTATAGGAAGGTTTGGCCACGCATAGGCCAGTTTTGCACCACAGCGTTGCCAGATGGAGTGTCGTTACGTAGTGTCCATGAGAAGTCCTGTGGCGTCACTAGCAATACTTCTTCCAGTGTCTCATACCGTGGGGTCCCCAAATGCTTCAAGCGTTGCTTTGTTAATGCGGGACATATGCACAAGAGATATTCCATTGTTGCTCTGCTGCCTGACTCTTGACATTTCTTGTAGTCTTCTCGATCTGTCAGCCCCATTTATTAGACGTGCGCCGCCAGCAGACTGCGACCAGTGAGTATGCCAAGCATATTCCTACAGTCCCCTCTATCGAGTGCTAGTAGGAACTAGGTATTTCTGACCTACTGCTTTACACATGACTTCCTTGCCATGCTTCTGTCCAAATCGTCGTATGACAATGCATGGCTTTAACAAAGTCGGTTATGTTTTCGGTTGTCAGCCATAAACCACCCTTGTCAATCTCTTCCACTATCTCATTGCTCTCGATGCCTTTGTGACCTGGATCTCATTTTTCAAAATTGAAAAATGAGTTCATCTAGTCGAGGTTTAGTACTATATATTTCATATATATATATAAGCTTCCGGTCGGTAGATTTCCATATACCTGTACACCACACTACAGCAGCATAGAAATGAATTAGTCTTACTTGTTTCGCGCCAGTGCATGAGAGTCACAGAAAGCCCACAGGTTGTAGCGAGCGTCTGCCTACATGCATAAAAGGCATTGCTGACCTTTCTTACACTTTCTTCCACATTGTGCTTACACAGGTGCGTTCCATGAGAGAGAGTTCTGAGTCATTTATCGAGCGAAAATCTTTTCTAAAACATTAGGCATCAGCAGACCCCGGAAGTCAAACTTAAACTTAACTTAGTTAAATATGCGCCACCGTTATAGTTCATGGAGAATCGCATCAAGCAATAAAGTGATATCATTAAATTATCTGGCTCAATAGCAACCGCTATAAATGCGATTTACTATCATTGTTATTGTTGTATGACCATTAGACCCAGAGTGCACAACGCGGCGTGCTGACGTGCTACTGTCGTTACCGTTGTTTCAATGTGTCGCCATTGGCGTTTTCGGGTGACTATTATAGATTTCGTTTATTGTTAGATCCACATACCCACTACAAGTATACAGCAATGCAAATAAGTATGCATGAACTCGCGCAATAAATTTGTTATTGTAGGCTATTAAAATGATGGCTGCATGCTGATTTCGACTGAACGCAAGAACAACAATAATGATGTTGACTAGCAGTGACGCGATGGCAATGAAATAAATGGGAGAGCACAAGGCAATTGGCTTATGAGCTACAACTTTATAAGCATATATACATATGTACTATGTTATAAGTAGGTATGTACATATATACATATGTACAAAGGTAAAGGTCATATATTAAAAAAAGTCTCAAAAAACCGTAACATATCAATATATACTAACAGCATATTCGAGTATGTACGAGTATATATGTGTATATATGTGTATACTTTGATTAATAAACATAAAAATGTAGATAGTATGTACGTATGACTTTCCATTGAAAAAATGTAGATGCAATTGCAGTGATAAGCAATGTCAAATGTTCAGCAGCTGGCAGTTAGTTAGCCCTGTGGGAAATTTTTCTTGTCAATGAAGCAATAACCTAAAATAAAATTTTTAAGGTCGCGAACTGAAAGTTAATTTAGGAGACTAAAAAGAGATTATATTCACTTGTGAATTACACAAAATATATTACAAAAAAATCAATATATCAGATGTACATATATCAGAAAATATTCTTCGTAAATTTAAAGTTGATCCGGAAAATAGTTTTAGAGTTATGAGCGAACTAGAACTCTACTAGTTTTAGTAAGATTTCGCCATACAAAAATGACATTTGTTAATCTCATCAACGAGGAGATTTGAAGCTAATCTATCCGAAATCTCCTGTGCGTTTCTGATATAGCGCCATCTCTTTTTCAGTAACGAAATTTAACACATTTTCACAGCTGATTTAGACACTACAAACTGTCAAAGTGAAACAAATTAAACAAACAAATAAAATAAAAGTTAAAAAAGTTAAAATAGCAAAAAATATCAAGTGAATAAGTGAAAATGGCAGTAAATAATATTCAAAAAAGAAGAGAAATGTGCCGAGGCCAATTTAATAAAGTTGTGACCAGAAAAAATGCCACAGCTTCGATCAGCTAGTCAAAATCAGCTGTTTTATAAATCTCCAACTACATTGAGGACAGTCTAGATTTGTGAAATGATTAAATGTAATCTAGTCACTTCATATTTTTGGTAGGAATACGGTATAAACGAGCACTACTCTATTTAGAAGAAGTTTAAAAAATTGGAGCTGGTTCGGCAAAATGTCTCTAAAATTGGAGATACACGGTACTGTCATACCTTAGACTCTTCTAAAACATTTCAAAAATAGTCAGATAGTTGTTGTACTACAGGCAAAAATCTACTCTCCCAATCAAAAAAGGAGAATAGAGTGAAACATATATGTGTTTACTATGTTAAAGCAATCCTCTATCAAGTCAATATTTTATAAGGCGCTATCCGCTCAAGTTACAATATTCAGCTCTAATGGGAGGTATGGCCTTACCTCTTACTTACATCTGCTTAGTAACTGTGAAGAATATTCACAACTCTTAAGCTTTCGCCGACAATTTTTCCTACAGGGATTATCGGTATTCTCAATCTACCAAAAAGTAAAAAAAAAAATAATCTTGTTTTCCATTTTCACGCAGATTTTTCCTATAGGGTATGACCGAGCAGCAATAATATTTTATAAATAATCATATTTTCAGCTGAGCAACGATCAACTTCTGTTGACTTCCGTAGCCTTCGTGTGAGGTCAATCGCTGGCTAATTTGTATACCCATAAATGTGGTCATAAATATAATAATTATGAATACAATAGCCATAAATTAATGATATCAAACAAATTCTACGTGTTTATTTTAAATTTTCCAATAAAAATATGTGTTTGCGAAAAATTTCAAATATACTAACTCTTTTCACAGTTCTTTGAATTCAAAAGCAAGTTTCGTTACTGCTTACATAATTTAGCTGTAAAATATTTTTATTGCTTGTTTTTTGATTACTTGCGCTCATTGTCACTAATAAAACGCTAACTTACGGAAAGTGTTTACAATAATATTATTGCAAAACAAAAAATTTACAAATGGTAAATGATTGAGGCGAGTTTTCTAAATCGACATAGAGAGAAAGGCAGCATGAGTTCTTAACTTTTAAAAACATTTTCTCATCTAAAGCATCCTATTTTGTAAATCCAATAAATAGTGGTGCAACAAACTTATTGGAGCCGAAGAAAGAAAGTTAGAACAGTAAATAATATTTTAAAGATTCTTGGGTTGTGTTTTAGATTTACTATAAAAGATCAAAAAAAAATGCATGAACTTTCGATAAATGGCTTTGTTAATCTTGGAATCTTGGTAAATTTAAAAAGCTCATCTGGCATTGAAAGGAACCGAGCTAATGTCCAATAGGACCATCGCCTACCCGCTTATACAAGGTTTGATCTACAATGACTACCTGGAGAAGAGTAGAACGGTCACAGAAGAAAAAAAAGTACACACTGCTCTATTATGCAAATACAACACCAAATTTCAGAAAAAAACGATTCGACTTGAGTAAGAAAGAAGTGAACTTCCAACATGGCAATGCTCGCAGCTCTAAGCCAACTGGAATGAACAAATTTCGGCAAATTAAGGTTCTCTTGGTCTACTTGGGGCTTTCATAGATGACTATAACAAGTAATACTACATTCCTACCTTACCCACTTAAACCAATCTAAAATACATAAGCTCTAAAAATAGTAAAAATAATATCAAACAATAAAACAAAACCTTGGAATTTTCACATATTTATCAAAAGCAAAAAGCGTGCTTGCACTTAAAATGCCAAGAGAAATTTTTCAACTTCACTGACCCCAAAAAATGCAGTTATATTTTATGTCAGAGAGAGAGGGAGAGAGTGAGAAAAATCTAAAATATGTCCAATATTTTTTGTCGACAAATTCACACTTGCACACACAGACATACACTGACAGCCAAAAGTGCAGGCACATATGCAGCATATGCGAGTATAGTGTTTTCCCTTGTCTGCGTCCATTTCCATTTACGCTGACACATTTCGTATGTTCGCTCGTTTGAAATTTGCATAACACTTGAAATTGTTTTACCTCTGCGCCGAAATCGAAATGTAAAATGTTTATCGAATTTGACACAACATTTTCGCATAACGGCAAACAGAAATTATAAAAACAACAATAAACAAGAAAAACCAATAACTTCTGCTGTATCGTAGCTATAATATCCTTCACAGTTGCATTTTTGTTTTAGAGCATTAAGGGGTGGAAAAATATATTTAACTTGATTTTGATCAATCATTTGGTATGGCAGCTATATGCTATAGTAGTTCGATCTGCATAATTTGTTGGAATTGTATAATAAGTTGTCTTGAATAATAATTCATGTCAGATCTTTTGAAGCTATCTCATCAAATAAAAAAAAATTTCCATACAAAAACTTGATTCCTATCGTTCAGTTTGTATGACAGCTATATGCTATAGTGGTTCGATATCGGCGGTTGCCACAAATGAACAGCTTCTTGAGTAGGAAAGGCCATGAGCAAAATATCAGATCGATGTCTCAAAAGCTGCGGG